ATATATATATATATATATATATATTATATATATATATATGTATTTACACACACACACACACACACACACACACACACACACACACACACACACAACACACATATATATATTATATATATATATATATATATATGTATTATATATATATATATATATATATATGTATGTATGCAAACACACACACATATACATACATGCATATGTATGTATGCGTACATATATATGTGTGTCTCTCTATGTATATGTGTGTGTGTATGTGTGCGCGCGTGTATGTGTGTATGTGTGTATGTGTGTGCTCGTGCGAGTGTGTCTGTGTGTGTGTGGCGTGTGTACGTATAAATTTTTATATATGTATATTTGTGGTTGTATGTGTGTTTATGGTGCGTCGTCATTATCAAAGTTAGCAGTAGTAACGATACCATTACCTTAATGAATACCATGATTATATTAATCTTTTTCATTATTGCGATTATTACCATAGCTTGTCCTTTCTATAATCGCCAGTGTTACCATTCCTGATATCACAAAGATTTGCATTATCCCTTCGCCATTTTTATCATCCACATCAACATAATCATTATCACTACTAACATTGTTCGCATAACTTGTAATGGATGTTGTCCCTAATGACAGTAATAACAATATGATTTAACCACGTCAATCGCCACTCGAGGTCGACGATTCCAGAACGTTCTCACCCGTAGCAGAAGGTATCGGACACTGCCATGACGTCATTCTATACGCGTGGGGTATGGGCGTCGGTCCAAACTCCGGCACATAAAAGTTGGCGCGAGGCACTTCTCAGCATACAGTCTTTCGACAACACTCGCAGTGAACACATTGCAGCTTCGGACTCCCTGAGCCAACGCTCTTTATATCTCTCAGTTGTAAGCCTCAAGAGCAAGCATGGCCCCAATTCAGAAGCACATTTCATCTTTTACTGAAGAGAATTCAGACAGAGCGACCAGCAAGACCTTCACAGCCAGCAGTTGCTTTAACACAGCCACAACGAGCACTTCAAGCAGCAGCATAACAGGCAGTGACAGTGCTATCGCCTCTGACCGTGACAGTCCAAGGAATCGCATCACCCACTTCGACAGAGACGGAGAGCGAGAGGTCGCGCTGCCCATCACCTCACGAGGTCACTTCTATCATGACTCCTTCTTCAAGGATCTCCGAGAGCATTTCAATGATGCCGTAAAGGAAACACTGGACCTGTGGAATTCCAGGTCACCTTTCGAGGACGACCTGCTTTGCTACAGACGAATGCGAGACCTCAACCTCACGGAAGAGACTCAGGCTCTCTCCGTCAAGGAGGACGACAACTCTCACCAGGTAAATGTCGTTCACATGCAGTATACTGTTGTTGAACTTATTACGGAGGAAATCAGTTATTTGTGTCTCTGATATAATATTTTGCTATTCATAGATACATGTTCCTTTCCCCAGGTCGTGATTGACGTGCGCGACTTCATGGACGGCGACATCAAGGTGAAGGTGGTGGACGACAGCGAACTGGTGATCGAAGGCAGCGTCGAGAAGCGACGAGATGGCGCCGTCTCGAAGAAGACTTTCTGTCGACGCTTCTCATTCCCGGGTCTCTTGAGCGAAGACGCTGTGTCCTCGTCCATGTCGGCAGATGGAGTTCTTACTGTCACTGTTCCAAAGAAGGTGCGTGATAGATGTCAAAATGGATAGTGAACACAATCATTTTCAGGCTGCGCATTATCTGAAAACTTTTTACAGACAAGGAACCTTCATTTACATGAAATTCTTCTTCCAGATTTCATTGACAAACAACAAGGAGGGCCAAACTATCAAAATCACTGCCTCGCACAAAAAGTCTGCAGATGCTATAGAGACTCACACGAACATCACCAACAACGTCGAAACGAAACAAGTTAGTGTCGAAGGGAAAACATCAAAATCGTCTGGAGTGAAAGTGGAAGAGGATCAGACTCAGTCGACGGAGTCTCAGAACACGCAGGACTCGAGCGACTCGACGCAGGCCAACCCACTTGCTTCGTTCCACCTTTCTTCCATTTCGGAAGAGGGCCTTTCTTCCACGATTCCTTCTTCCAGGACACTCGAAAGCAATTCCAAGCCGTCGACCAAGTCAAAGTGGGACAAGTGGACTCTGAGCTTGCGAAAGCAGAACTTGCAGGAAGAGAACCGTCGCCTTCAGCGAGGACCACCAGTGTTTCATTCAACTTTGACTTCATTTTATCAGGTAAACAATCCATTGCTTCATAAACTCATGCTGTTACATCCATGTGTGTGAATCAATATTAAGAAAATTTTGAAATGAATTTTTTTTGTTTCGACTCAAGGTGTGGACGAATGAGCTAACAATCGAAGGCAATTGGAGATCAAGCGAGACGATTCCGTGTCCAGCAAGAGTTTCTTCCGCCGTTTCTGCTTCCAGGACTCGTGAGCGCCGTGACGTCCGGATGTCATCTGACGCATCCTCACTGTTACTGTACCAAAGGTATGTCTGCAAAGCATTTTCGATCATTTCATTTTATATTATGGATTGAAAATAACGATTGATATAGTTCTTTAAACACAGTTCAATAATCTCTATTTTCTTCACTCAGACAACATCGGGATCGAAGGCTAGTGCGGTTTCTGAAGCGTCAAAATCTCAGGTTTCCCAGACTTCATCTCAAAACACAGAAGGAAAACAAACTCTCACAAAGGTATCCAAATCAGAACAACAAAGTTTTCGTTCCGAGTATCAGAATGCATCTACCAGAAGGACTGAAGCGACATCGTCACTCGCAAACAAAATTACAAGTGAGGAAAACCAAGAAGGCGCCAATAGTAGAATCTGTGAAAGCGGAAGCTCGCTTCTAGAAAGCACACAGTCAAGCAAGGACGCAGTGGACGACCAGTGGCTTCCCATCTCCTCGAAGGGTCATTTCTTCTCTGATTCCTTCTTCGAAGACGTCCGTAAGGACTTCGAAACGGCTGTCAATGAAGTCCTCAGCAGGCATGACATCATGAGGAGTGCCAACGACGAACTCTCCTGCGGGAAGGGGTGAGCTCAAGGATGAGACTCAGGCGATGAAGACCACGGAAGATCAACACGGATTTAAGGTGAGCATATGACGTCTTGGTGAAGTAATATCATCTTAAATAAACATTAGAATTAACCTATCTTCGCAGTATGCCTTACGTTAAATAATACTAATAGTTGCTTATATCCTAATTAGGTAGTGTTGGACGTTCACGACTTCATGAACGAAGACGTCAAAGTAAAGGTGGTGGACAACAAGGAGGTGGTGGTGGAAGGTCGTGCGGAGAAGAATGACGGAACCGTAAGGTCAAGCAAGAGCTTCTGTCGACGCTTCACTCTTCCTGGCGCAGTGGACATGAATTCTGTCACCTCAGCCATGTCCTCCGACGGTGTCCTCACCATCACTGCGCCCAAGGTTTAAAAATTGGGTCAATGAAAGCTTCAACGAATCCTTTACAATGATAAGGGAATCAGCTGTTACAGACGTTGTTGATGGAGTTGTTTATTGTTGATTTTTATAGACCTGAATTGCGATATATTTTTTCTGAATATATTTTCATATGAAATAAAATATATTTGTCTATAATGCATTTTACATAACCTATGATATCATATGTATGGAAGCTTTATGAAAGGTTTTCTATCGTTATACTTGTATTTCTGATGACATTTCTTATACTCAGAATACGCATTGCCAAAGTTACATAAAGATGCACATGCTACATTCTCTTGTGCATGGCATGTTGCCATGCTTAATCTACAGGAGCATGCATAGATATACATATATACCGTGCAATACAAAAAATACCTCGCATAAGCACATGATTCTCTTTTATACTGTAAAATATACGACAGAAATTAAGAAAACTTTGTAAAACTTTATTTGATACATTGTATTCTTTCTTATATCTGTCAGTATGAAAAATCGCATTCGCTATTCACTAACACTGCCACTTCAGCCACAATTTCATATGTTGAAGTACAGAAAAGTAATGGAAAGTTTATTTGTCAAAAGATTTTTTAAGACTAATCCATAGATAACAGACAGGCAGGCATATAGAAGCAAGAGCTTAGATATGCACAAAGGTGCCCATTCTTATCCATGTGGATATACACTTCTAACGTATCGATATGAACTTTCTCTCACTCGTTCAATTTTGTCTCTTTGCCTTTTCAATAAAAAAAAAAAAAATACAAAGAGAGCTTCAAATGACAGTCGTTATATCGTAAATATAAGAAAATAAGAAAATTTCAGTTAATGTCAGATCTAGACCAGTTAAAAAATATCCTCTTTAAAAAACATTCTTGAATAAACAAATAGCAGTTTCTAAAAGCCTCATTTTTAGGAAGAAAGCTGCAGAGTTAGCACTTGTCTAGTTCCAGATAATGCTAAAAGAAAAAAAATGGTTGTGATTTTCGTTAAGATGTAATGGACCAAAAGCCATAAAACCCCAGTGAAACGTTAGACTTCACAGCTGACAACAGTGGGACGATGTTGATGTTCTTGTGTTTCTTTATGTTGAATATGAAGGGAAATCAAATTCAGAATCGCTGCATTATCCACACACACATATGTGCGTGTGCATACACACACACACACACACACATATATATATGCACACACACACATATATGTATATGCACACACACACACAAACATATATATACACATACATGTGTATATGAAGACACACACACACACATGAATATATATGAGCATACACACACACACACACACACACACACACACACACACACACACACACACACACACACATGTATATGCACACAAACATGTATATGTGTATTTATATATCTGTACATATATTTCTAAACATAAATGCAGGGATTTAGCCTATAAGGACAGAAGTCCTTGCTTCCTCATTTCCTATTGTTTATTTTACAAATATATTCTGCTATATGTCTGGCGTCTGTTAACAAGAGAAGGAAACGAAAGATAGAAAATTAATAGCTGTCTCTTTTCAGCGCAAAAGATAATTAAGATCATTTATGAATTATGTTCACGGTTTGGAGGCCAGTGCGGTCCCGCTGGTCCACAGTGGCGGCAAAGATGACCTCATACAGTACAAGATTAGGCTACAATATGTGTAACAGCGCAAGCAGACAAAAGCAAACGAAGAAAATGAGATACACTCTGCCAAAGCATTATATTTGGTATATATGTGTGTGTCTATGTGATTCTGTACACACATTTACATTCATATACATATACATATAAGCATTTACACACACATACATGCATACATATAGACACGCACACATACACACGCATAAAGACATATACATGTTTGTGTGTGTGTGTGTGTGTGTGTGTCTGTGCGTATGCATGCCTGGTGTGTGTGCGTGCGTGTGCATGTGTGGTGTGTGTATGTACGCATAAATCTCGTGCATATATGTATATATACACATATAAGTACTGCATGGATTCATGTATGTAGTGTATACATATATATATGCGTGTGGTTCCATATCGTGTAACATAATCATGCATCGAGTGAAATAACGACCATTTTCATGTAAACATTTTTATAAGGGCATCAAGGATCACAATAAACCTCATCGTCCATATTTGGTCTGAAGGAATCCGACTGGTGCTTCACGATGATTCATCCTACAACAAACGGGATCAGATTTCTTCAACTTAGTTGTGAGATTTGGAGGAAAACGTGGAGATAATCTGCCTATTATCCGATTTCTTAACTGTATTTCTTGCATAAGAATAGCATTCTATAACCTCTTGAATGTACACATGAACAAGGTTTACTTATAGATGGTAATATGTGATAATTGTGATGAAGCTATATTATTTGTAGAAAATTCGAAATCTAACAATATATCGCAGATCGAAAATAAAAAGCAATAATAATTATAATAATAATAATAAGAGTAATAATAGCAATGATAATAATATGCATTCCGTCACTAACGCGTCCATTACAGACATATGGCAACTCCATTTTTACCATTTTGGGAATATGAACATCGCCATATCAAACACAAGTCCATACACAGAAAAGTGAATAAGGATTGAACCAGAATGTTCTCATAGTGCGAGGAAGGGAAAGGAACGCGCCATGACATCATCAGGTATGCCTGGGCGGTGGGCGTCGCTCCAAGTCGGGACACATAAAAGGTGGCGGTTCGTCTGACCCGCCAGTTACTTCTACGCTAACACTTGCAGCGAACACACCGCGAATCAACGACCCTCCATTTTCAAAAGCTTCTTGATCTATTTGTGTACAGAAAGAGCAAAATGGCCCCAATTCAGAAGCATTTCTCTTCTCACGTTGAAGAGAACTCAAGCAGCGCAAGCAGCAAGGCCTTCACGACCAGCAGTTCCTTCCACACAGTCAAAACGTCTTCGTCCCACAACAGTGCAATTGCCAGTGAAAGCAAAGCAGCCACGAACAGTGATCAGCCACAGACACGCATCTCTCTCCTTGAAAACCAGGCTGACCGAGAGGTTATGCTGCCCATCACCTCACGGGGTCATTTCCACCGACTCTTTCTTCGAGAATCTCCGCCAGCAGTTCGATACAGCCGTGCGAGACATGCTGGATCTGTGGGATTCACGCTCATCCTTCGAGGACGACCTTCTCTCCTACAGACGAATGCGAGATCTCAACCTCACGGAAGAGACTCAGGCTCTCTCCGTCAGCCAAGACAACACGTCGCATCAGGTAAGTGGCTTCCACAGTAATGATTTACTCGTATCTTATGGTGATATATACGTGTCATTATCTGTTGTATTGGTTGTACGAATGAATTCCTTAAAGATGCAATAATGACCTCTGACTTTCCAGGTCGTGATTGACGTGCGCGACTTCATGGACGGCGACATCAAGGTGAAGGTGGTGGACGACAGCGAACTGGTGATCGAAGGCAGCGTCGAGAAGCGACAGATGGCGCCATCTCGAAGAAGACTTTCTGTCGACGCTTCTCATTCCCGGTCTCTTGAGCGAAGACGCTGTGTCCTCGTCCATGTCGGCAGATGGAGTTCTTACTGTCACTGTTCCAAAGAAGGTGCGTGGTAAAAGCTGTCAAATTGGACTGAATATAATCACCATTTACTGGCGGCGCATTATCTGAAAACTTTTTACAGACAAGGAACCTTCATTTACATGAAATTCTTCTTCCAGAATTCCTTGACAAACAACAAGGAGGGCCAAACTATCAAAATCACTGCCTCGCACAAAAAGTCTGCAGATGCTACAGAGACTCACACGAACATCACCAACAACGTCGAAACGAAACAAGTTAGTGTCGAAGGAAAAACATCAAGATCGTCTGGAGTGAAAGTGCAAGAGGATCAGACTCAGTCGACGGAGTCTCAGAACACGCAGGACTCGAGCGACTCGACGCAGGCCAACCCACTTGCTTCGTTTCCACCTTCTTCCCATTCGGAAAGAGGGCCTTTCTTCCGCGATTCCTTCTTCCAGGACACTCGAAAGCAATTCCAAGAAGCCGTCGACCAAGTCCTCAAAGAGTGGGGACAAGTGGACTCTGCGAGCGACCACATGAACATGTACAGGAACTTGCGAAAGCAGAACTTGCAGGAAGAGAACCAAGCCGTCGCCTTCAGCGAGGACCACCAGTGTTATAAGGTCAGTTGGAAGAGCATTCAATACTGAAACATTTGACTTCATTTTATCAGGTAAACAATCCATCGTTTCATAAACTCATGCTGTTGCATCCATGTGTGTGAATTAATATTAAGGAAATTTTCAAATGAATTTAGATTGTGGTGGATGTACAAGACTTCAAGGAAGGCGACGTCAAGGTCAAGGTGGTGGACGAGAATGAGCTAACAATCGAAGGCAATTTGGAGATCAAGCGAGACGATTCCGTGTCCAGCAAGAGTTTCTTCCGCCGTTTCTGCTTCCAGGACTCGTGAGCGCCGACACCGTGACGTCCGGGATGTCATCTGACGGCATCCTCACTGTTACTGTACCAAAGGCAAGTCTGCAAAGCATTTTCGCTAATTTCATTTTATATTATGGATTGAAAATAACGATTGATATAGTTCTTAAAATACAGTTCAATAATCTCTATTTTCTTCAATCAGACAACATCGGGATCGAAGGCCAGTGCGGTTTCTGAAGCGTCAACATCTCAGGTTTCCCAGACTTCATCTCAAAACACAGACGAAAAACAAACTCTCACAAAGGTATCCAAATCAGAACAGCAGAGTTTTCGTTCCGAGCATCAGAATACATCTACCAGAAGGACTGAAGCGACATCGTCACTCGCAAACAAAATTACAAGTGAGGAAAACCAAGAAGGCGCCAATAGTAGAATCTGTGAAAGCGGGAGCTCGCTTCTAGAAAGCACACAGTCAAGCAAGGACGCAGTGGACGACCAGTGGCTTCCCATCTCCTCGAAGGGTCAGTTCTTCTCTGATTCCTTCTTCGAAGACGTCCGTAAGGACTTCGAAACGGCTGTCAATGAAGTCCTCAGCAGGCATGACATCATGAGGAGTGCCAACGACGAACTCTCCTGCTACCGAAGTCTCCGGGAACGTGAGCTCAAGGATGAGACTCAGGCGATGAAGACCACGGAAGATCAACACGGATTTAAGGTGAGCATATGACGTCTTGGTGAAGTAATATGATCTTAAATAAACATTTGCATTAACCTATCTTCATAACCTATGTTAAATTACTAATAGTTGCTTAAATTAGGTGGTGTTGGACGTCCACGACTTCATGAACGAAGGTCAGTGAAGGTGGTGGACAACAAGGAGGTGGTGGTGGAAGGTCGTGCGGAGAAGAATGACGGAACGTTGAGGTCAAGCAAGAGCTTCTGTCGACGCTTCACTCTTCCTGGCGCAGTGGACATGAATGCTGTCACCTCAGCCATGTCCTCCGACGGTGTCCTCACCATCACTGCGCCCAAGGTTTAA